TTTTTTTCTCTGTTCTTTTGTTTTCTTTGTATTTCATGCAATACTTTGCCCCTTGATTTCATTTAATTTCTGTATCTTTTGCTTTTCTGAGTTTTTCTTTAATTCCCAGGCCCTATGTTGTTTTTAATATTTCAAGGGTCACGTTTGACGTCATTGCTGCTCGATTCACAACACGTGTGTTATTGTTTTACCTTTCCGCCAATCAGATGACGGCATTGTTACTTGCCAGATGGCTGCATTCATTACTGTTATTGCGTACAACACAAGACTTTGGCTCTATTTTTCCATTTATTAAAACCCGAAACGGCCTGTCTTTGTTTAATACAAAACAAGCACAGGTGCTTGGCATAGAAATACCCAACTCCAAATATGCTGATATCAAAGTCTTTGAAGATTCAATAGCAGCGTTTACCCACCCCTGCTCATCATCTTTTACTTATTTTCCACGAAGACCGAGCAAAAAGTTGATTAAAATGTCATGTTTCCTTCAGACAAGCAGTGTTTCGTGTTTCATTGAAAGCTTATTTTTTGTGACAGGAAATATGAGAACGCTAAAAAGCCAATTTTAGATAAATGAATGGATCGACTTCAAATGAGGATGAACCAATCACGTTTGTTGGCATTGTGCCTTTGACAACCACCCAGCCAATGCGAAGCGCTCATTGCGTTTCCGCGCTTTGAAGTTTATTTATGCGGCACCTTTCCGTTTCTGTCTCTTTCTGCTGTCAGCTTGGTCGGTGCTGGAGGTGGTTCTTTATTCTTTCTTTCCGTAACTTCTCGACAGTTGACTTTCGTGAAATGGCCGAAGAAGCCCCAGAGCTCAAAAGGGATTCAACCATGACTGTGACTGCCAAGGTGCGAGAAAGATCGAAAGCGCGCGAACACCGAAAAATCTTTAATGCGAAGGTTCCCTGCAACGCGATTGAATGATTATTCCTCTTTTTTTTGCCTCAGGAAGGAGCACAATTTCTTGAAGAGCAAGGGAAAGTACACGAAGATGCAAAAACAAGGGCGCAGCAAAGAGAACTCGAGGAAAGCGAAGAGGAAGATGCTGCGAGCAAACTAAAAAGAACTTCGACCATGGCAGCAACCGCTCAGGTAAGAGCCACAGTTCGAAAGTTGTTTAGTTTCGCTTTCTGTCGAAGATTTAAAATTCAGAAGTCAAGGCGTCTTGTACCATATGTTGTACATTTTTAGGAGGGAAGCGATCTCCTTGGAGATGAAGAACGCGGTAAAACACGATCAGAGACCGCCGCCATGAAAGAAGTGGACGAAGACGCCGAACAAGACGAAAGCGGCGAAGACGACGACGAAGAAGAAGAAGAAGAAGAAGCGGAAAATGGTAGCTGCGAAGAGAACGGCGAAGAGACACCAGTTGTCAAACGAGATGGCACGATGGTTGCGACCGCTGCGGTGAGATCATCGACAATTTTCTTCGGGTTTATGTTTGGCTTGTTTGAAAAGTGTTTTCGCTGATCAAACGGTGCATTCCTCTCTTAGGAGGGCGAAAAGTTTTTGGAGGACGCTGGCCACACTGTGGACGGTGGAACACGTGGAGAAACCGAAGCTGTGAAAGCGGCTATTGAAGAAAGCGTGGAAGATAAACAAAACGGTGACACGGAAGACGAAAAACCTGACCTGAAGCGAAAGGGAACCATGCAAGAAACTATCGAGGTAAGGAAAACTGCAGCACGAGTTGTTTTGAAAACAAAAAATTGCTCATAGTTAGACTTCGATTTTAGAGACCACTGTTGGTCTGTAGAAAAAGTTCTTATTAAATTTCTGTGTTACTTTTGTTTGTCATTGTCACATGGAAATTTAAATTATGTTAATAATTTCCGCTTACAGATAAAATGGTTCTTTTTGCAAAATCGCCACACGCACTGTTTGCAAGTGGTACTTTTCCAGTGATTTCCACCCGAAGTTCAACATTGTGCAGCGAAAATGATATCGACAAGCCTGAAATGTACATTGCTGTCTGTCACGCCATTTTGGCATGTCATGCTTGCTTTATCGCGGTTTTTCAATTGTTTATGTAAGGAAAGCTCATTGTTTTATGACAATGTGGATCTACTTGTTCCCGAGACAAACAGCTATTGAATTCGCAGCTAGACGCCACGCTTTTCACTCCTAAACTAAAGCGGAACCCGATTTCACCTTGGCTTGAGCGATGACAAAACTCCGTCTTCCGGTTCAAAATTTGTTATTGAATAACACCGGGATAATTGAAATGCACTATTTTTCAACAGGGCAAAGTCTAAATGTGTTCTTCAGAAAGTACACATTTCTACAGCACTAAATGACATAAACTCCTGACAATCTATTTGAAATTTTTCACTAGTGACTAACAATTAAAAATCAACCCTTGAACAGTTATATCATCTATTATGTATTGAATAAATGAATGGGAAGATTTTTATACTTGCATAGAATAATTTCTGTGGGCTGGTTTATTTGGCCACCAGTTCACATCAAAATCAAATTATAGTTTTGAATTGTTTACTCAGAAACAATATTATCCTATTGATGCTCAAAATTTCAGTTTTTTAGTGTACCGATAGATTGAAAATCTAATTTTGTTGTAATTCCGAATCATGAAGTTTTCAAATCAATACAGTTTTTAAATGTACAATATTATAGGCTTGTCACAGGTCAGGAAATGGTCAGAGAAAAAAAAAATTCTTCAAGGTCAGGGAAAAGCCAGCGAATTTTATTCTGAGTCAGGGATAATTGACATTATATATGAAGAAAAGTCAGGGAAAATTGAAATAATTTAACACGACTGATTTAACACCGTTGAAGGCTTGAAGAAACATTTGGGATCACTGTGATCAGAATGATATTTTTACATTATGAAGAAGGAAAATTTATGGAAAACTTGTGAGTCTTATTGAACAAGTGGAAAGGAAGGTTGTAAGTTCACGCCAGAAGCCGCTACTAGATATGACATTTTATATTTATTTGGTCACTGAAATTGTATTTTTAACAGGGAAAAACATTTTAAAAGAGAAATAAACACTTTAATATGACATTTTGGTGTCATCTTGTCACCACTGTCAAATGTGGATTAAATCATTCAGTTCATGATGAGATACATGTATATAAAAAAAATCAGAGGAAAGTCAGGGAATTTTGATAAGTAATGCCAGTGGCAACTATGTAATATTACTTGAAGGATGGCATTTGTTTTAAAATATTCCACTATTGACAGACTTTCCAAACACCTTTTCAGTCATGGTCTCGCACACTGCAATGTCAGTGAAAGACCCAGCCACATCGAAAGCAATGTGGTTACAAATAATGCTTTTGTTAATGCTACTTAACAATAATAAAATTAATATTGAAGAATTAGAATTTGAAGTCAGAAGGTTTTTTAGAAAGCTTTGTTGTCAATAATTTTGTCCTCACTTATTTCAATTTGTTTTTCAGGAGGGTGAAGAATTTTTGAAAAAGCAGAAAACCACCAATGGAGACCATCAAGAAGAAGAAGTGACGGCTTGACCTTCTCTATTGTATTGTGATACTTTTATGACTACAGGACAAAATCGAACACATTGTACAATATAAATATATATACATAAATCACATTTTCTTCGGACAGCAAGTTTATACCACATTTCTCTTTGTGGTAAACGTCATGTAGCATTTTATTGCTTTTTAACATGGACACTTCTTGTGATGTTTTGTATATGTGTTAAACAGGCCATTGTTTTCTCTTATACCTTTTTGCTCTCTCTAGTCTGATTAACAGTGGTTTCATTAAGAGATGGGTAGTGGGAAAATTGAGGGGCAGTTAGGATGATTTTAACTGCCTGGTTTGACCATCTAGCAGACAGTTTTTGTTATAAAGAAGTTGAGTTCAAATAGTTTTACTGCCTGTGAAACCAATTTCCCTCCTGCTGAAAACATCAATGAAATCCCTAGATCAAGGCCATGCATTCTTTTATCTCTTTTTATCTTAACATGTCAATAAGAGTTGAGTTGCTTATCTTGAATAATAGTAGTCAAACATATTCTATTCTTGCTCTTTTTGGAGATCTTGGAAGCTTTTGTAAACATGTTCAAACAGCCACAGATGGCGTCAACAAGACAGCAGAAAACAGGAGCATTAAAATGTCCTTTTACACAATATGTTGTGTTCGTACTGTATATAACTGTGCCTGCTATGATATTGTAATGGTACACAAGTGTTAGGGAATACTCTTTATACATTAAACAAATCTTATGTTCCCCTTTTGTTATTTGCATAAACTCTTTGTTGACCTTTGATCACTTTTTTCCTCACTCACAATAATTCCTACAATGTGTTTAAAACTGATAGACTTTGCAAATTCCTGACATCTTTCATGATGTTAAGAAGAAGCGACACCACATTTTTACCGCTCAACAGCTTCATTTTAGAGCTCATGCCAGGGTTAGAGTGTGTATGTCTAGAGTTTCAAAGTTTAAAATAAACTTTAATAAGCTGTTAACTGTTAAAGCCACTTGAGAAGAATAACACACTGTGCTTTCAGGAGGCTCTGTTAACATGGTGTCTGTGCATAATGCATTAATTTAATGGTAGTACATAAAAACACTGCATCGTAGCTTTCATTTAATTAAGTCATCAAGCACATGGGTTACTTTTAAAGACAAAGCTAGAAGGGCTTCTGCCGCATAATATTACCAGTAGTGCATAAGCATATTGTTGATCAATAGCTTTGATGTAGGGAAGGTACTGTTTGTTAAAAAAAACAAAAACAACTGCAAGAAAACAAATTATAGGGAGAGTTGATCCAATTTTTGTGCTGCAGCCGGACCAATGTCACTAACTGAATGCCTGGAAGAGGGTAAGATAGACGAACCAACCAAGGATTTACTAGATGTAAACACAGGTGCAGAATGAGAAACAATTACGAGTCAACGAAACGAAAGAGCTCAAAAGACTAACAAAAATACAAACAAACAAAAGGTACCCTACCCCACCCCCGGTTGTTTTGAGTTAACCTTACTAGTTCCAGTTTCAAACTGTTGATGCTCGATCAAAAATCTGAGTGACTTGTATTGCATTTGAAGGGTTCTGTAAGAATACGAACGGAAGTTTTGATGTGAATTATCGTTGTATTGGAATGAAGGTACAGTATGAACCTCCTTGTTGTGTTTTTAATGGAGTAATGGAGCTAGCAACTGTTGTTTGCTCGTACGGTGTCTGGGTCTACGTAGAGGAGTGTATGTGCTGCCACAAAATGGCGGGCTTTTGGAAGTCCTTCGTCGATTTGGTTTTGTTTGTGGGATCTTAAGTCAGAATGAGCTTGTTTACCCTGAAATGTTTAAGTATGAAGAGAACTCAGGAATAACACAGTGATTTTATTGTTGCTGAAGGTCTCTCGTCCTTGTGTGAGGAGTGTCAATAAATGATTATGTCAGGAACGAGCGTTCGATTAAACTGAGTATCGACCAACGTTCTCGAGTTTCACGGCATATTTTGCTTCCAGCTTGCGTGAGACCTTTGCGATGTATTTGAATGCTCTGGCATCTTTTCTTTGGTGAATTTAGATTCCTAATGCGGGGAAGGGTTTGCTTTAAAATCACCACAAGGAGATGAAAATCAAGATGTTGAAAAATTGATCAGTTTAAAACAACAGGAAATCGGGCCGTGGGAGAACAAAAGCTGTCGTCAAAATTTTTAGATAAATGAGACTAATGTAAAAGAGGTGAAAAACTAGTCCACTTTATCAGTTTGACTCCAGGAACAGTGACCAGTTTGTAAATCTTAGGTCAATAGATCGTTTTCACGTGACGTCATCAAATATCAAAATCCAAAACTAAAGAGCCACGAAAATTTTTATCCCCACAAGGCATAAGGGGATCTAAACTTAAATCTGTTTACAACTTTTCAGCTCAATAGTGTGCTTGGTTAAAAAACCAGTGCCGTTTGAAGTTCAGAGTTATGTCGGTGCGTGACATACCATTCCGATCGCGTTTGTGGAGAAATGTACACTTATCTAGTGAATTTTAGTCTTTTTAGGAGTTAAAGTGTTAGGAAAAGTGCTTGTGTAAATGTTTGTTGGTTCAGTTCAGATAAT